AGTACTGCTGGGCAGATTTAAAGCCATGCTCTGTCCCAGGTACATTCATATAAAAAGAACCGGTATCTGGAGACAGGCGTGCTAACCCTTGAAGGCTAGAACATAACTGAAATTTATTTAAATACAATATTAGAATGAATAACCTAAAGATTACCATGATATATCTTAGCCCTGAGTCCACATGCTGTTTCCCAGTGTACCTTCTGACAGGTGGGGTAACAGCTACTTCATCTCCAGGATTTTGCAGCAGGAACAAGAACAGCTGAAACAACCCAACCGCTGGTGGTAAGCTGGGGATAATTCAGAGTTAGCCTAAGGCTCCCTCTGGAGTTAAAGGAATGATCAGTGCCTCCAAGGAGGGATTCAGAGTCTTTCTGGAGTGCTCAGTGTAGAGAAAACTCAGAGAGGTGTTCTCCCTTTGCCTTGCTGGAGCCATGCCAGTGCAGGGGCCACTTTCTGGGTTTTCTCTTGTTACTGGAGAGAAGAAAACTTACTAACCTAAATTAGGCTGCAGTGCTGGGACAAAGACATATCACAGTGAATGTTGCGAAGTAAGGGACATTGTCCAAACAAATACTGTGCTTGCTTAAGCATTACCTTAAGTTCAGTTAGCTAGTGATTTAAATTTTGGCTGATTTTAGGCCAAAATTTTGAATTTTTTTTCTTTTTGTACTATTACATATTCTATCCACATAGCTCGAGCTTTCAAATACAAGTGATTCTGCAGGTCGGGTAAACTGTCAAAAGGTTTGATTTTCTGAATGTGTGTGTTAGAGTCCACAAATCAGCTCTCACAAGCTATAAGAACCACATAAATGAAACATCCACAATATGAAATACTTTTTGTAAAGCTCAGACCCTGTATTTTGAGGAGTTTGAAGGCACTTATGAAAGATTTCTTTGTTCAAGACCAGTTCAGAGAAGCCTTGAAATTCTCACTGTTTTTAGTTCAGTTTTCAGCTACTGCTGTACCTCTCTTAGCAGGTGGCACTTGCTGTTGTAACAGTTGTGACTATAAAACCAACATCTGTGGAAATAGTCTTGACACTAACAGGACCATAACTCTTTGGAGAAAAAGAACACATAATTTCTACTAGAACCTGAACTCCTTTGATATAATGAGATATATTTGATTATATTTGATATAATGAGATACTTAAGCAATTAAATAGTATTTATCCATACATCATCTCCAAAATACACAAAGAAATGCATCTCTTAGCAAACATTCCAAATCAAAAAACTAAGCTTGCTACAAGGTTAATCTCTCCTACTCTACAATGTAGGCTGGACTAGAAAAAATAGATCATAGATGTTACTTGCAACCTGGGAAGCATTGCTGAAAGTGAGCAGAAACGTGTTGAAATAAGAGGGAGCCTTTCTGTTGATTTAAAAGGCCATTACAACTATGTTGCTGAATATTTTATCTCCTTTTAAAATCTGTGACATATATCATGAGATTTAAGCAAACATATGACAGTTTGCTCCTGCTTTCCAAATTTTCAAGCTATTTTTGTGGTTTTGGAGGAAGGGGATGCAGCACTAATATCAAGGTGTCTTTAAAACCCCCGTTCACAAAATTCTCTGTATCCCGACTCCTCTAAAATAACTTATTAATATTTAACAATAAAAAGTTTAATGAACACAGTACTTGATTACTAAAACCTATAAATAAATTAAAATAAAATGTCTTGTTTTGATAATTAAAAAACTCTTTTGTGTCCTGGGTAGAAGCAGGCTTTTTCATACAAAGCACAGCACAAACTTTTTACTCTTAGCTGGCAATGCTGCAGCCTGAAGACAGATTGGTTTGCTATTAAGAATCTTGCTAAGTCAGTAGGTTTTTCCCTCTTCCTTGATCTACCACACAAAGCACTAGGAAATATAGTTGTTCAATGCTTCAGAATCTTTTCTGCTAATTGTGTGTTGATTAGAAAATGCTTCTATATTTGGTCTTTTTCTGTAAAATGTGTAAGACTAATCATTACATGATCTTTAATATTAAATTTAGCTAAACAAAGCCATCATGCTCCCTCAACCCCCAGAAAAAAAACAAAAAAACAAACAACAAACCAACAATGAATTTTTAAATCCTTTTTAATAAATTAATATTCATTCATCAATATCTTCATAAAGCATCTCTTCATCATTCCATTTTACTATTCTTTTTTTTTTTTTCACTGCGGAAGAATACCAAAAATACATAGCTGTGCCTTAAGCAAAAAGGACTGGGTTTTAGTTTATCTTTACAATGGGATGAAATCAACTTAGAGTTAAACCACCGTAATATTTCTACTGTTTAATGACCCTTTCGGCTATAACAGAAGATAGTTCCAGTTTTCCTTTTTTTAATGCCTTTTACAAACAAATTATGTGTTAATGTTATTTATAGTACTGTTGAATTACAAAGGAGTTGATTAGCTATGAAATACATTACTCTGGTGTGATTTAATTGAAATTACCATTTTCAGTCTTAAAACAATCTGTGGTTAAAATAATGTACTGCAGCTAGTGCACAGGGTCAAGAGCCAGAAAATGGGAGGTCAAGGCAAACACTGTTCTTTACACATGGTTGTATGTGTGGGTTTTTGTGTCGTGGTGGGACTGTAGGAACAGAATTGGCAAAAAAAGGCACAAAAAACGTGTGTGTAAGATAAAGTACTAACCTTAAGTGAGATTTTGCTGGCTTTTTTCAAGTCAAACCAAGACTTGGATCTGTTCAAGGTTAAAGTCGTTTGTGACTAAACCAATGAACGTGAAATCTTTTGAAAAAGCTGAAACGTGCAACTGCCTACTTTTTGCAAGGACAGGCAAGATGGGGAGTACAGTTCCCTGAAGGGGGCTGCATTAACATGCTGCCCTCCAGTAGTGCAAAGGGTAAGAGAGGCAGAGTCCTGAGACTCGGTCCTCTTGCACATGCAGGGCCCTGAAAAATCCACGTTGCCGCTTCCCTCTCTACAGACAGTGATTTTCTGTCTTCTTGGAAATTTTGGTTGAAGCCACTGAAGAACTGATTTCAGTGAGATTTGGAATACACGTTTCTTCCACAACTAAAAAAGTCACATCTTGTTGAAAGTTTCTGCATGGCCATGTGATTTCTAGGAGGTGGGGCTTGAAGAAAATAGAGTGCTGTGGTTAAATCATGAAGGCAGGACCATTCTCAAATCTGACTTCTTAGGGTAGTTCTTTAGGGCACTTACAGGAAGACTTGCTTGGAGATAATCTCAGTAGGGAAATCTTTCTAAAGCAAAGCCTACCATTTATAATTTTTATTAAAATCAGATAGTTTTGTTTAAACACGTTTTGCTATTAAGGTAAAAACTTAGGAGAGGTTTTCAACAATTCTATCTAATGTGTACTTTAGGAGGTTGTTAATTGTTAGTTACTTTGATTATAAAGATGACAATGTGCTCTATAATCCCTTCACAGTTTGAAGAGATATTAGAGAACTCACAATACATTTACCAATGGGACTTAATACTGAGGAGCTTTTAAACACCAAATTTTTCTGCTCCAGCTGTACGGGTTCCTCTGAGGCTGTTCATGCTGTGTAGTTGTCTTCAGATACAGTGCTTAAAAACTGCAGCTCCAGCCACTCTGCACCACTGCCAAGGATGCAGCAGGACTGCAGGAGCCGGGGTTCTGGTGAGCATTCCCGGCTGGATATCGCACTGCAGCGGCGCTGCAAGGCAGCTGCGGCCAGCTAGCTGATGCTCAAGGAGCAGCCCCAAGGATGGAACTGAAACACCTTTGCAAACCAGGCTCATCTATGCTGGAATTTCAGTCAGGAGCAAAGTTTCATAGTTCAGTTGCAAATAGGGGTGGGAACGGTAATGGGCAGCACATGGCAGCAACCCAAGTATCAGGGCTCTACTCACAGGTAAATCGAGTGCTAGCGAGAACAGGGGGTGGTCACTACAGAGCCAAGGTGGCCTTTTCAGTTTCATTCATATTTGGTGGTTTTGCTAGATGCATATCCACATGTATTTTTGCCCATAGAACTTTCCAACTAGCATCCAAAGCTCTCTGTCAGAAAATCTCATTGATGTCTACAGGAATTTCATGTGCAGAGATCTGTCAGGGCTAAGCCTGAATTCTGTTTTCTTAGATCTATTTATGCTACTGTATTTGTTGTTATTTGACAATGTACATGATAGAAACACTGTTTACAAAAAATATATCTTCTTTTCTTTAGAAAGATTTAGTTCTGATAAATAACAAATTAGGTTTACAGATCTGAAATTGGCATACCTTGATGACTACAATCTACTAGACTGAAAAAAGTTGTAATCCCAGTGAGGGAATGAACTGGGATCAAAACCAAAATGATCACATTTGCATGAAGGGTATGTTAGAGCACAGTTAATGCTGAAACAAAACATACTCTTGTGATCTGTGATGGCAGGACACTACCTTGGTAAGCGTAGGCCTATACTTTCAATATATAAATAAAATATGAAAATGCTCCATTACTGAATCAAAGTATCGGAAGTGCTCTATTTGCTCAGCTCTAGAGAATAAGAAGTTATAACATCACAGAAACAAAAATATGACATAACATGCGGTCACGATAGCAAGCACAGGAAAGAAAAATATTGAGAAAATATATGCATATTATGCAAATATATTTTACATTAACATACAATGTTATAAGAATGTCAAATAATATGAATGCATGTTTAAAAAAGGCTACAGCTAGGTGATTTCATGTTGAAGTAACAAATAACCTGAGACATCTTCTATGCTTTCACTGGAATAACAATCTTTAAATCTACAGCAGATGTAGAACACATTGACAGTAGTTGAATTCTCAGCTAAATTATACTAAAAATGTGCTGTTCTCTTTCAAAATGACATGGCAGCTGGAACCAGTCCAAGGGAAGGAAAATGTGCTGTACATTTACAGTACTTACAAAAGATTCATGTCAGTGTTGATGGACACTTAAAATGCTTGTTTGAAATATTATAAACCTGCATATGTCTCCAAAGACCTACAACACTCCCATGATCAGCTTGCCTACTGCAGAAGAGAAAGCAAGAGATCATTAAAAACTATGCCCACCCAGGGAAAATGTGTATTATGACATATATAAACCCAAGAAATTTTAGCAAAGAAAAAAAAAATTTGGCTTGATGAAATGGTAGTTGCTGGATCTGCAATATAAATAACTTATTTTAAACTTAAGAGTGTAACTCTACTGCTTTATGATTAGCGTGTATGGCAGCATTTACAAAGGATGTTACTAAATACTGACTTTATACAGGATTACAGCTGTTCAAAAATTTCTGACAATCAGTTTTGTACTGACAATATACAACACTTACTTTCTCAAGGCTTGCTGCTTTGACGACACCTGCCTTTTGATTGAAAAAGTTCCTCTGAAGTGCATTCTATGTTAAAGTGTCCATAACCTCAGAATGAATGTGTTCATGTGTGTGTGCATACATATACTTTTGCTTTGCAGTATGTGCTTTAAAGTACACACAGTTCTTTGCTACATGTATTCACACATACATGAGTATGGTCTACATAGTAAAAGTTCATATATATATTTTTTTATATATAAATATATATATATATAAATATATATATAAACTCTGCAGGCAAGTAGTACTTCACTTGTTATAGTTGAAGTCCTTTAAAAAAAACTAAGTCACTCAGTTAACATAGTATAGCCAGTAAATTAAGTTGAAAAGAGAAAATGTGAATGGAAACACCATTCTTGACCATCTGTCGATGGCATTCACATCTGTTAAATCGGGGATTTTTATTTTCAGTTGCGAAGACCTTCTTCGTAAATGGCCCCTCTTGCTATGTGAGCCCGGTCTTTCTGACGAACGCCTTCCAAGGCTTTCACGATGTGAGCTTTGTTTTCTGTACTGGATTCCTGAGTTGTCAAAAGATATAGTTGAATTTCGGGCTTCTGTAACGCTGGTGGTGACCTCGTTGCTTGCCACCTCGTTGTGAATTTCAAGAGATGTTAGCAAAATGTTTCCATGGGTGTCCACCTAGAGTGAAGAAATGGAAACACAAATCCTTTCAAAAGAATTGACACTGATGAGCAGAATGTGGGTGTATGTAAATCTCCAAACCCATACATATCTAAAAAAATAATGTCATTATTTTTAAGCATGTGATGATCTTAAAAAAGAAATGGCACTATTCAGCTGCCTAAAATTAGGCAAGTACTTAAATACTTTTACAAACAGGGCTATCATCATACTACCAAACATCCAGTACAAAACTGCACTAGGCAATCTCCATCATTTTCTTCTCCCTCTGAACCAGCCACATTTTAAGGCATGGTCTCCTCCATGAAACCTCCGCATTGCTGGCAATGGAGGGAGACAGTAAGGGATGTCTCTCTGCTACAGTAGGAAATTAATCTAAACTGGCTAGTTTTGTTTTTTTTTTTCCCTAGCTGTGATCTAAAATAAAGTAAAAATGAGTGCCTGTGTAGTTTGCTAAAATGCCAAGGATGGTTCTGATGTGCTGAACTCTGCATTTTACAATCACAGAGCTTATTTACAATTTATCTCCTGAAATTTTCCTTCCAAAGTCATTTGCAGAGTTTTCCAATCACGGCAATTTTTAACTGCAGGGATTTTCTGAGTGATTGATCTCAAAAACCAATATACTTAAGGATAGGAAAAAAGTGGCTGAATTGAGGAAATAGGAGGGACTTTTCCCTTTCACTGCCCTATTTCAGAGGCAGTGTCCAGTGTTTAGCACGAAATGTATTTATTATGCTAACAAAGTCAAAGTTTTGTTGAGAGAAACTTGACAGTGATTTCTATGTAGGTATTTTTGTTTAGTATTATACTTTGCTTAATTTAACAGCAACTGAAACTACAGGAAGGTCAATGTTTGTGTTAGCAGTAACCCATACTCAGTCTAGGACTAGGCATCACCCTGAAAGACAAAAAAACAGGTCCCTGGTCAGCCATATGACAGAGAGCTCCTAACAAAAATCATCAAAACTTCAAATTTCCAAGTACAGAGCAGTGTGATGCCATTTTCAGTAATAAAGAAAAAGATCCTGACAATTTAGAGTCTTAAAATCTGGGCCAGACTCTCCAGTCCTCCCGAGTGGCAAGAGAGGAGCAGCCCAGAGTTGTGTATGTCTCCTTCAGTCCAGAAGCCTTAAGAGTTCCCATGAGTGGCACTGAGAAGTTCCAAGCAATGGTGTCTGAGTCAGTATTTGGTAGTTTCATTGGTGGGGCAGCACAAGCCCCATGCTCCAGGCCCTACACGCTGAAGGATGTGCAGTCAATACAGGCAAAGCAGGGATCAGCTCCAAATTTTCTGCCAGTTTTGGGGCAAGGAAAATGATGGCTGAAGGTAAAAAAGAAGCCCTGTGCTGGGTGTTTTCAGACAGTTAACACACATGTGACACTGTTAAAGAGAATTTAGTTCTCCGTGTCAGAAATAGATAGTCAATCATGGAATACAGGATAATTTCCAGTTTTACATGTGCAATTTATTCATCCATAATTCATCATGCAATTAATACATTTTTTTAGCCTGCCATATGATCTAGCTGTGCAAACTGTGTAGCAGTTGAACATCTCATTCTAGAAGCATCAGTTTAAAAGTGGTTGTAAAAACAGACTATTGTCACAGCCTCCTGAAGTTCACAGTCATCTGATACCACATCCTCTGCAAGCTCTGTGTGATGGATTAAAAGTATGCACAGCTATGCGTCTGTCCATAAGCATTTAACTTTTTTCATTCTTATTGAAATTTTGTGAAATGGATGTTTCTTTCATCAATTATTGATGCTTCAGCTTATCTCTTCTCAGGGAAGACAATTATGATAGTATATCAGTAATGCTTTGCTAAGGTGCTTGCAAATGGAAAAAAAGAATATACAATGCTATGAATGATATACACACAAGTGGGAAAATAATCCTTAGATATCTAACAAATCCTGCTGCTGTAGGCAATGGCACATTATGCTGAAGAGTGCCTATAAATAAAAAATAAATATGAACAAGAATAATGGCATGGAGAAGCCTCAGTGGTGATTAAGAAGAATTTATTTTCTCCATGGCAGAAACGCTTTGGGTACAAAAGTAAGATCTTGAGGTTTGTAGAAAGGAGTTCATGCTGTTGAGCAGTTTCTGTAACCAGAGAATAAACACAGGTGTAAAATACAGTCAAGGATATCATCACTAATTATGGTGGTCTATGAAAAGAACTGATTCAGTTTCTTCTGTTCCTTTTTTTCCACAAAGAGTACAAATTATGATCAGGATCTTTTTTTATGCAATGTGTAAAGTATCTTAACAACCTGTTTTTTCCTTGTGAAGCTTAAAACTATATCTCTCATCCAGACCCCCATGGCATCAAGTGTCATCTTTCCCATCTCCTACTTGGCTTTGAGAAATGTCCTTCAGCTTACTAAAAATGCATAGCGAGACCATTTTGGTGGGCCTCACCCCTAGAGCCCTGCCATCCCCTTGCAGGTCTCTCCTCCTTTTCCTTCCACCACCACAGATGTCAACTCCTTTTTCCCTCAGGACATCCTGATCTCTCCTGATTCTGTCTGCCACCTACATATACACAGACATCAGCCCATCCTGGGTATTTTGTCCTTCTACACTGAGCCTGGACTGTTGTGAGCTGGCAGCTGAAAGCTTGTATTATGGAAGCACTGAGGCTTCTCCTGATCAAGGAATCAATTATATTCCTATTATTTCCTTGCACGGCATAGCTGCCTTCACCTTATCTGCCAACTTCACACGCCACCTTAACATGGCTTCTGCTTTTGATGTGCCAACTTTTCACTGTTTGTCACTGCATCTAGAAATCAAACCAGAAAGGCAGTCAAGAAATTTGCGACTTTTGTGTATATTCTTTTTCTGAAGATAACAGTATGTCCTACGAAGCTGCATGACAGTATACATTTTTCTCAAAATGTCAAATGAAACATATTTGGAAACATACTTTTGAAATTCATCGTTTTGCTAATGGAGAGACAGGCATACATGTCAAATATGAGGAAGGAGCAGATGGAGAGAAAAAGGGGTCTGCAGAAGCTAAATCAGCCTCTGGTCCACAGATGCTCAAATTGATTCCTTCCGAGGTTTTGAATAAACCACCTAAGCTCTTGATGACATTAGAGCACTATACGCTAATACTTTGTGACAATCTTAAGGTGATGTCTTAAAGTATGAATACTTAATGCATACAGCATATTAAAAAGTGTTTGCACATAAACATGACTTTGGAATCATTTAAGCAATGATTTAAATTACTTTGACAAAGGTACACAAGCTCTCTCAACAAATAAAGAAGCAAACCAATAATGGCAGGAGATCCTGTGCAAGTCACCTCATGTTTGCCTGAATATACAGGGAAGGCAAAATCCTCCATGAGTGAACATGAGTGTTGCTCAGTGGCTCCAGGGAAAATGTTGCCCTAGGTATAGATTAGGAAAAGTAGCTGACTGGATTACAGTCATGGCTACGTATGACAAACAAGGCCGATGTCTTTGATAAAACTCTAGATTTACTCCTTATGAACCTTAGAATATAATTTTATCACCTGGCTCAAAAATGTCACTCTGTGCACTAGAAGTTCTCCCCAACACGCTAATACCAGGCTTTACTCTCAAATGCTGTTATAAATAAGAGATGACACTGGGGATTTGGCCAATTTCCCCTCAATTCTTACCATCCTTCTTTAACCAAAATATTTCCCCTTTTTTACTTCTCAGCCAACCCTGTGCTTCTATTCTTTTTGCAGCCTTCTTTCTTCCCACATTGGCTCCACCGAATCTATTCCTTCCCGTTTCTCCACTCTGGTCTCCATGTTTGGTTCCCACATCTCCCCAACACAAGCAAGGGTTGGTTGTTTCCTTGGAACATTTCCCAGTAAACTCATCAAAACAGATGAAAACAGCTGAGTACCAAATCATTAATTAATTCCCTGATGAATCAGCATGGATACAAATATGAAAAAGTAGTGCTCTTATTTCAGAAAAAAATTTTATCGAACTCCATCCCTCCCACCTCTGAGTAACTACAGACCCTGCACCAGGGTGAAGTGACTGAATCTCACATAAATGCATTTTGAAAAGCAGATTCACCTGTGAAGGTTCATCATTTCTGAACTATATATATTACAGTATAAGTGAAAAATTCCAACACTCCAGCAGCCTAATGTCATTACACAAAAATGACTGTGACTCCCCTAACTGAAGCCAGAAGGAGGAGAATTAAGACAACGTTCACAAAGAACCTTCTCTTTGCCCTTGGAGGACTACCACGTCACCAGTATGTGGATTGTATATTCCAGGTCCAAAACTTCAGTGCCCTATTATATCTGGGGAGTCCTAAATCTACTTCTTAATTCTACCCAGGATCTAGGCTCATTTCGATGTTAGCTATTCTAGTTTAAGCAACAAAATATAACAGCTGCTATTGAATACTTTTCTCCAATATTTAAAAAAAAACCCAACTTTAAATCCAGTTTGAAAGCACTTTACTAGGGCCAGAAGACTACCTAAGCCTTGATTTATTATTAGGTAGAGTCTGAATTGTTTAAAGTTAATTTAGTTCTCTGTTTAATATTCCATAAATTTTAGAGAGTATGTTACAATGAAATCTCTTTTCCCTCATCTTTCAGAGGAAGCATTTTGTTCAAGCCCCATAGGTATGTTTACTTGTTCATCAATACCAAATTTTCAAATACCATGTAAACACTTCCCATCATGTGAAGCAATATAAATGCAAATGGGGGTTTAAATAACGTAAGGAAAAGCTCTGTCTCTGTAGTTAGTCTTGCATTATTTTACATCAAAATTAATATTTAAGTACATACAGAATCACAGAATATTTTGAGTTGGAGGGGACCCACAAAGATCATCTGGTCTGACTCCTGACCCTGCACAGCACCATCCCCAAGAGTCACACCATGTGTCTAAGAGCGTTGTCCAAACATTCCCTGAACCCTGTTCAGGCTGGTGCTGTGACCACTTCCCTGGGGAGCCTTTTCCAGTGCC